TTGTGAATTGTGTCCCAAAGAAAAGCCTAGTGAAATTCTGGGACATGTTTCTCAGTTGTCCCCCTGCTATTGCTTTGGGGGTGGGGGTGTCTGATGCTTCTTAAAATCTTTTCTTCCTTGGTATGGCTGCATAGGCAAAACATATTTTTTCATTCACTCATTCAACAAACAATTATCATGTGCCTCAATGCTCCATTTACTATCCCAGCTACTGGACATACAGTAGCATATAGAGTAGACACCAGTCCTTGCATACGTAAAGTTTAAAATCTAGTCAGGCAAAGGGATATTGTGAAGAGAGATTCAAAAAGCACTGTGAGAGCATGAAAGAGGGGAATTAATCTACACACATAACTCAGAATTCAAATGTCAAAAAGAAAAAAACCCCTGCATTTCGAAAGGACCACTTTGCAGCCAGGAAACCATAATAGTCCTATTAGAGACATGAGTCAGAGGCTCTTGAGGGAATGAGTTGTTTCTGGCAGCAGCGGCCTGTTCTGGAAGGAGGTCTGGTCCCATACACAGCCTCATTCTCTGGGGCCCTAACAAGAGACCTGCCCCCAACCCCTTCACACCCTTCCCGTCTATCACCTCAGCTGCTATTCAAACAATCTGCACAAGCCATTGAGTTACTGGGGAAGGATGTGAGTAGAGGAGGGCTTGGGATTGGCATCCACAGCTGGCAGGAGAAAGATGCCCTGGCCATGGCTTCTTCTCCAGGGAGTTGTAGGAGTCAGCCTGGGAACCTTGCTTTCGAGAATAAATAACATGGGGGGATGTGGAGCCCTCTCAGAACAGTGTCAAATCTGAAGAGACAGCTAAGAAAGAGAAAGGTGACTATTTCCAGGAGATGGGCATTATGGTCGCTGGTAGAAACATCAAGTTCGCGATTTAGTTTAGGAAAATCTGAACCAGTATTTTCTATTCTTCTTTCTCTACAGTTCCAAATTTTGTGCCAGCAAAGTGAAAAGCCCCCCTCTCCCCACCCTGCACTTCCCCAAACCTCCCAGTTTGTGTTTGCTTGTGAAAAGAATATAAGCAGTTGGCTGGCTGTCTTTAATGACTCTTGACAATAAGCAGGGCAATGGGCTAAATTATTTAAGAGTGAAAAAAAAAATCTGGAAAAACATTTAACAAGCTAACTGGTGGTTTCTGATGTGTTCCAAAATGAGAGGTATTAAAAAGAAAGGCCTCTCTGCTTCCCATTCAAGCAGGAACTTGAGATATCAAGTCCCAAACCAGGGCCCCTGGAGCAGTAAGATGAGGTCACAGCTGACCACATGGGTGGACTTTATCCAAGAAAACTCTTTGAAGGTATCCCTTCTGGTGACTGAACAGATTGTCCTCTGAGGTTGAAGCAAACACAGATAAAAAAAACACTTGGGAAAAGCCATTGCACATGGCACAGGGATGATAAAATGCCTGCTGGTTTCAGCTACTGACTGCAGGCTTCGTGCCATTTCTCCTCAACTCATTCCTATGCTTACCAGAACCTTCCATTGTGAAGAAAAGTCTGATGTGTATCAAATGGGTCTGCTTATCATGAAAATGAAGACTCCTTCTACTTCATAAGAACCCAGGTGTTGAAAATGTACATATAATCAAAGACTCCCAGCTCTCCATCCATCCAAATAATCTCCCTAAAAGGTCTCATTTACTACCCAATGCTCAGAAGCCTCCCCCACCCACACATCAGATATAAATACTTTATAAATAGCCTTGCTGACATGAGCCTTTTCTGGACATAGTGCTCTGTTCACTGGAGGCCAGCTTCACACGCTCCTTCAACACGTATCTTATTGACCTCCACAGACTATCTACTCTGCTGGGTGGACCTGCTCATCCTACTTACACCTCAAGGTGAACTTGAGTGCTGTCTTTTTCAGGCAGCCCTCTCTCCCACAGTTGATAAACATTTGATTTCTACCCCATTTTTCATAGATCTCTTTGCTGCAGGGAGTCCCAAATGACACCAAGTTTGTGGTGTCTGATCTAACAACCTGTAGAAAACTATTTGCTTGAAACCTTCCCTTTGCTCCAAGGTAAAGAGAAAGGGAGGGTATTCTCTACCAAACTTTTCACTCATGGCCAGTCTTCTCACACCTCCTAGAACCTGTGGACCTAAGAGAACATTAAACAATCTAGATCATAGGTGTCAGCAATCTAGCAAATTGCTGATTCTACCACCAAAAGAGGTGGTCTGTGAGTTCCTCCCTCACCTATCTTCCCTGGCCCCGCCTTTGAAAAGTTTCCACAAAATGGTGATAATATGTACAGCTTTCCTTGTGGGTCTCTTCCATGAGGGCTTCTACCTTTGGTAGTCCCTTTGACCCAACATATACCCACCCCCGTACACTCTTCTACTTCCCAACTTTTGCCCTTGTTCTCCTGGTACTTAGAACACCCTTGTCTTCCTTTGCAATCTGGTAGACATCTCCCCAGCCTTCTCAAGTTGGTTCAAATGTAACTCCTTTCTTCACTTTCCATTTACTGAACTTCTGGACAATATGAATTACTCTCTCTTCCCTTATTCCCAAGGTATATGATTCTTCACTCTATTTTAGAACTTAACAGTTGTATATAGTAAACTATTTATACAGATTTAACTCCCAGCCCCTGGAGGGGAAGAATTGTCTTATTTAATTATTATATCCCCAGTTCCTAACCTTATGCCAATCACATAGATGTTCCATTAACATGTGGGATTAAATGTGAATGCCTGGAGGTCCTTGAAATGGACCCAGGTGCCACACTGTCCCCCACGGGGAGAAGCCCAGCCCAGGGCAATATTCTGCTGTTTCTGATGCTGGCTAGTGACCCCTCCAGCTCTGCCATATCAGCAAACTATTTCTTCTTATCGCAGCTCTGACACTCGCTTCTGGTTACGTTTCCTCTGCAGACCTACAGCCGGCCCACTTCTCCAGCTTTATTTTTGTGAACTCTCTCTGCACAAGCCAAGTGCTTGCCTGCCACCTCTGAGTCTCAGTTTCCTTATCTGATCAACCTGCTTGTAGCACAGCTGCATGGAGGAAAAAAAAAATGTATATGTAAAAAGTGTTTTGAACTCAAATATCAAACGATAATGCAAACAAAAGGAATTCTTAAGTGCGTATTTTACAGTAAAATGTATTTCTAATCGAAAATAGTCATGATACAAAAATAAATCACAGAATATGAATTCAAAGGAGACTGAAATATATCTATGAGTGACTAAATCGATCAAGAAAATTGTGACAATACAAGTGTGATGGAAAAAATACACTGGACTGAAAAGTTACTGAATGTTACCAATTGTCAGAAGAAAAAACAAAAGCTCTTCTCCTTTATTCCGTGTTTAGACACCTATTATAATCTCCCCATAGATACCTCAAATCTAGTGTGCTCAAAACTGAACTCAGCATCTCTTTTCCAAACACCCCCAAACTAACTTGTTTCTATTTTGATATTCCTCCTCTTGGCCAGTACCACTACTCTCCATCAGTCTCTGAAGCCTGGGAGACTCATCCTAACTCCTTTCCAGCCCTATTTCATCTGCCCACCCTTCATCTAAGCCAATCCAAGTCCTATGGAGTCTGTCCTAAAATAGTTTGTGTTCTTTCTCTCCTCTTATACAAATTCATTGCCCCTACTTTCGGGCCCTTACAATTTGTTGCCTGCTCTGCTTCAATTGTATCCCATTAGATCTTCTGTCTACAATTCATCCTCTATAATGCTACTAGAGAGAGCTTTCAAAGATATTAACCTTATGTGCCACTTAAAAATATTCTATGGCTCCTCATAATTCAGATTAAAGATGGAATTCCTTAATATGTCATTCAAATTTTTTTATGATTTAGCCCCTATTTATCTTTCAAATTATACTTCTGTGCTCCTTTACATATCTTCTAATAGAGAAAACCTTCTCAGACTTTCTCAAGGTGAGCTTCCTCCTATATGCACCATAACAGTGTGTGCTCACTTTAATTAGAGCACCTGTCTCTCATTAGGTATCTTCCCTGCCAGACTGTACATTCTTTGCTTGTCACCTACAATTTTTACATGAAGATATTAAAGTGGAAATCTCATTGCCTCCTCATCCAGGCAGGCAGCCCATGAGTGGAACGTTAAAAAGTAGACGAGAACAGGAATGGGAACGGAGGAATGAAGAAGAGGTTAGTCCTGACTTTGAAGGGAGAAAAGAGGAGAGCCTTGGCCTCTGTTGTTGGATAAAAAAAAGTAAAATACCATACCCAGCATAAGCTTGACCACATGACCGCGGCAAGGATCAAGGAATTTAACCCTTCATATGAGTCATCTTAAAACAAAACAGACAGCAAGACTCCCCATCAGGACCTTTGGGAAAGGCAACTGACCAGACAAGCTTTTGCCTGATGGAAATGGACTAATCCCACAATACGAATGTTTTACTGTGAATTATGTCTTGACCACATGCCAACAGGTGATTGCATTTAAAGAACTACAGCATTTTTTTTGAGTTCTTAAAATGTTCTCATCACTGAAATCTCCAGGGGCAGCTAAACATTTCAAAATCAACACACTGGCCCAAACAGAGTAAGAACAGATCACAAAAACAATAATGCTCGGTAAACTAAACCAGTTAAATTTAGGTCTCCATGTTCCTCTCTCCACACAAACATCCTCATCATTGGGCTCAACATGTAATGAAGCCCAAGTTTATACCATAAAAAATAGAACATAATAAAATTCTACTCCTTTAGGAAAGAGACTTATACAAATAAAATTAGGATTTTATCCACTTAGTCAATGCATTCTCAACCAAACTTTCCGCCCTAAAAGCATCAATATTTATAAAGATCATAATACAAACTATAGTTCTGGCGTTACTGTTGACTCTGCTGCTTGTAGTTTTAGATAGATCTCTTTTTGTGACTGATATGTCCTTCTTTACCAAAATGGGGTATAAAAGAGGGCTGTCTTTTTTAATATTCAAATTAAATAATTGTGCATCCCACTCCTGTATTGTGAAAAAGTATGCCTACCTCTTCCTGGTGTCTCACCTCCCATGCCAAGGGAAAAAAAAATCCAAGGAGTCATTACTGTCTTCATGATGGAAGAAACTGGAAACCATGAGGAGTCCATCCACTGATGGGTGCCAGGATCTGTAGCAGTTGCTGCTGATGGAGTGTCTGTGGAAAGCATGCGGTTTGATATGTGAGATGCGATACTTGGTTATTGCTGCAACAATGGTGACTTAGAATATCTGTGTTGGCCACCAATCCTCTGAGGAAAGAGACCTTGATACTAATGAACAGCTATGCCATGAGTCTGGCAGGAATTCTGCCAAGGTGGACTACAAAAGAGTAGAAAGATGGGTTAAGGTCAGCAGTACTCACTATACAATAAGGGTACACTTACTAGTTACCTGGCTCATTCTAAATAGTCATACACTGCTCTTTTTCAGAGGTTTGTCCACAGTGCCAAGGAGAATGTCATGTCTATCAGCACTCCTCATCATGCATTTTGCAGACTTGTGCCAATCTGGGAAATGTTTGTGGCTGAACCACCATGAGACACGTACACATTGGAGTATGCATTTAGACACCTTGATAGCAATTTGATGCAGCCATAATACTCAAGTACATAACTGTAGATTCAGCTCATTAAACAGCAAATGGAGCAGTTCAGGGGCTGTTGATTTGGGTGAACTGCATGAGCTACATTCTAGTGATGAAATAGGCTCAGGTTGACACATGAGATATTTTAAGGTTAAGTTTGCCAAGTGTAACCCAAATATTTATATGAGTCTTTTAAAATCTTTTAAAATTTTTATTTTCATAACTTATTGTTCTATTTCAATTATTACATATATTTTTCCTTTATTAGGTAAATTAGGGAATAATATTTGTATTACTGCTTCCATATCTGATATTGGCAAGGCAGTTTGTGTTTTCTGCAGATAATTCAGAAAAAAAAGTTATTTAAAAACAACCATTTGAAGGCTCTGGAGAGCAATCAAAAGCAGTAGAAACTGGATTGGAGTCAATCTTTGAAAGAGAACTGAATTCAATAAAATTTGTGTTTATATAGGTTTTTGCCTGAGAATACTCCCCAGTCCACACAAGCCTAAAGCCACCACAGCATAAGCAAAAAGTCCCAGTCTTACTGGTTTGAGGAATCAGAGTATGGAATTTGAAGAAAGGGTTAATGAATTAAATAAGGGGGTCAATAGAAATTATCCAATATAAAAAGAGCAAAAAAAGATTGAAAGAAGATAAACAAAACTTCAGGGACCTAGAAGACAATGTCAACAAGACTAATGTAATTAAAGCTCCCCAGAAGAAAAGAAAAGAACGAATAAGGAAGAAAAACTATTTGAAGAAATAATAGCCAAAGGTTTCCTAAATTTTTGTGAAAAACAGCATACAGATCCAAAAAGATCAGCAAACCCCCAACAATAAATACAAACACACTAGGTATATCCTAATCAAACAAGTGAAAACCAAAGATAAAAAGAAAATCTTGAAAGCATTTAGAGAAAAGAAACATACTGCTAAAAGAAGAACAATGGTATGGATGATGGTAGACTACTCATCAGAAACAAAGGAGGTAATAATAAGAATCTTACACAGATTCAATAAAAAAACTATGTAATCATCTAGCCACTGCAATAAGGCCAGTAAAAGGGGGCAAAAAGATTAAAAAAGAAGAAATGAAACAATCTCCAATCACAGACATCATAAATGTTAAGCTGGAAGTTGTTAGGAAGCTACAAAGCTGTAAAACTAATAAGTGATTTTATCAAAATCATAGGATAAAAAGTCAATATTTAAAAATCTACTGTGTAGGATTTTTTTTTATTGAAATGACTATTATTATGTTCTATTACTAGCAGCAAACAATTGAAAAACAAAATTTAAGAAAATTCAATTTACAATTGCATCATAAACTATAAAATACTTAAGAATACCTTTAGCAAAAATGTGCAAAACCTCTGTACTCAAAAGCATAAAATACACTGAGATAAAAATTAAAGACCTAAATAAATGGAGAGATATGCCATGTTCATGGATTGGAAAACTCAGTATTGTTAAAATGTCAATTCTCGGGCGCCTGGGTGGCTCAGTTGGTTAAGCAACTGCCTTCAGCTCAGGTCATGATCCTGGAGTCCCGGGACCAAGTCCCACATCAGGCTCCCTGCTCAGCAGGGGGTCTGCTTCTCCCTCTGATCCTCTTTCCTCTCATGCTCTCTGTCTCTCATTCTCTCTCTCTCAAATAAATAAATAAATAAATAATCTTTAAAAAAAAAATGTCAATTCTCCACAAATTGATCTATAGATTCACAGCAATCCCAGTTACAATTCCTGCAGGTATTTTTATAGATACTGACAAGATAATTCTAAATGTATATGGAAAATGAAAAAAAAACTAGTGTAATCAAAATAATCTTTAAAAAAAAAAGCACAAAGTTGGAAGACTTATACTACCTCATTTTAAGACTTACTATAAAGCTACAATAATCAAGACAATATAATGGCATAATGATAAATGTCAATGGGACAACAGAGTCCAGAACTATACTTACACAATTAATTTACTTTCAACATGGACACCAAAGCAATGCAATGAGAACAAAGGAAAGCCTTTTCAATACATGTACTAAAACAATTAGGTATATGTATGAAGGAGAAGTGACCCTTAACTCCTATCTTATCATTCACAAAAATTAATTTGATATAGATCATAGACCTGACAATAAAAACTAAACCTGTAAAGCTTCTAGGAAGATCTAGGAGAGTATCTTCCTGACCCTGCGTATGAGGTTCTACAGCAGGTAAAAACTAAATTAAGGTGATTTTTAAAAATTGGAAAGAAAAAAAACACCTTTGAGTATGTGTATTGCAGGAGGGACTTATGTGCTGTGAAGGGGCAAGAAGAAACTCACTGGAGTGATAGAAATACTCTTTATCTTGGTAAGGATTGTGTTACACATGTATATCCATTTGAAAATCCCATCACATTGTACACTTGAGATTCTACACTTCAATATATGTAATATTTACCTAATAAAATTATAAATGTATATTAAATTCTAGCTAATAAGTTTGCTTTTCACAGCATTATGGTTGAGCAATTCTGAAGCTATTTTCTGTATATCCTAGGCATGAACAAATGAGTAATTATATATTATAGATACAGAGAGGAAGAAGACTAGAATGTGTCCTGCGGTGTTGGATGGAATTGGAAGTATCAGCATAAATTTATGGCTCTATACCCATACAGAGAGAGAGAGGAATTCATATATGTACATGCTTGTATATGCATGTGTGTGGATGTACACACGTGCGTGTATGTGTGTATCAGCACTACCACCGAGAGGGCTTATAAGCAATGACTCAAATGTAACAAGAAGCATACCTAGTTGTCAGATCTTGGTTTATAAATACCACTCTTTACTAAAAAGCCAGGGATACTTGGAAAAAAGGCTGATTCCAGGCTTGAAGCAGTAAGAGTACAGGATGATCCTGTAATACCTCACGCTGAAAATTAAGAAATGCTTAAAGAATAAGAGATCATACCAAAAGAACAAGGAGCCAGCTAGCTTGGAGGAGCCCCATTGGTCAAATCTAGGATCATTGATAAAATCAACTGTTGTTATTTAAATACAGTGGGTAAAAATTTGATTTGTATGACTTCCAATTAATTCTTACAAAATATATCTATGCCTTCAGGGGAGAGATCTGGCGGACACCGACTTATCCAAATGATCTTAGTCAGTATCACTAATATTGGGACAAATTGACACCATGTGCCTTCAGGTGTAATGCACTGAGAAGGACTTATCATGTTATCCCTGCCAAAAATGCATGGCCTGAAATTAATCATACCCAAACTGAGGGACATTCTACAAAACAGCCAGCTTATTCTCTGAAAAAATGTCAAGGTTAAGTAAGACAAAGAAAACCTGAGGAACTATTTCAGATTGAAGGATACCAAAGAGACCTGACAACTTCTGCTCTATGTGATAACTGGATTGGATCCTGGACAGGAAGAAAATAGGGACAAAGGACATTCTTGAGACAAGAGATGGACTTTGGATATGAATTATAGCTTATAGTGTTATACATATGTTACGCTTCCTGAATTCAATATCCTTATTTTCAGAAAAACCACATGAAATGATTTCGTAGTAAAAGGGCATGGTGTCTTAAGCTTACACTCAAATGTGTCAGAAAAAAAAGATTTTATGTGCATACACACATTGATATGGGAGCAAGAAAGAGAAAAGGGAAATGTTAAAGTCAGTGGCGCAAAATGGAAATGTGAAGGAATACCGGAGCTCCTTGTAATATTCTTGCAACTTTTCTCTAAGTTCGAAATTGCATCCAAATAAAAACCTAAGACAAATCATTAAAATTATGTAACTATTTTGAAATATTAAGTGACCAACAAACTAGTGTTCTTTTATTAGAGAACTTGTAAATTATTTTATTAAAAATTATTTTCAAAAATAAAATTCTTTCGGGGTGCCTGGGTGGCTCAGTCAGTTGAGTGGCCGGCTCTTGGTTTTGGCTCAGGTCAGATCTCAGCGTCCTGGGATGGAGCCCCAGGTCAGGCACCATGCTCAGAACGGTTGAGGATTCTCTCTTCCTCTCCCTCTCCCTCTCCCTCTCCCCTTCTCCTCTTCTTTTGTGTGCGCATGCGCGCTCTGTCTCTCAAATAAATGAATATATCTTTTAAGAAAATAAATGAAATTCTTTCTTAAAAAGCTAAAATTAATGTATCTGAGTATATCAGGACAAACTTTAAGTCTTTATGTTAAGTATCTGAACATTAAAAATAATAAAAGTGAAATAATTATCTTTAGTATACATATTTTTAATCAATTTTTAGCTTTATCTGCCTATAAGACCCTGTCACTGGTATTTTTGTGAAGAATTTTTTCAAATATGCAACTATTATTTTTAATTTTCTCATAAATTTGCCTTCAGTGTTATTCATAGTTGAATTTTATGATTAATAAATTTGAAATTCATGACAGCTTCCACTGACCCCTTTCTTCTGACCATATTTTTATCCAAGAAACTCCTCTCTACAGGGGCTGCGCACTCTCCAGGCAGCTCTGAGCGAAGTCTGCTAAACAGAGCCTATTCTCAGATTTTAATTTTTAAAATTAAGATCTGTTCATATTTCAACCCACATATTTTTAGAGGTTCTTTTTTTTTTTTTTTTACCCCAGAGTATCTTCTTCAACATTTTTTATAAGATAAAATTCATTTTAAAAGGTGTTTTCTAATGATTTTTCTAAACAGTTCATCAAACTGAGATTATATAAAATCACAGGTCTTCTCAATTTCAATCCAATTCAATATACACTTACCAAATCAAAATTCAAATCTTTTCTATTCACACATTGAGCTATTCCACCATTGGAGTTCTCATTAATTAAGGTGTTTTCTTCTTCCCTTGTTTTTGTACAGATAAATATCAATATCACCCTGTTTGCAAGCTTTGATTTTAATAATTAGTTTGCTGTAAACTTGAAAAGCTGAAGATCTTGGTTGTTCCCTTATTGAATAATTTGATTAAATATTTCCAGCTGATTTGGGATAAAATGCAAACAAAATTTAGAGAAATTCTTCCCCATGGTTGACATTTAAGTTGATTTTCCAAGTAATTCTTTAAAAACCCAAACATTTATAAGACTCAACTGATGGTGCATGACTAAGAGAAAATACATACTGCTAAGCTGAAGTTTCTGTTTTTTAATGTCAGTTTCACTGCACATACAAAATTTTAATTCAGTCCCTCTGTGTATATATAAAAATATTTGTAAAATTTAACCATTGTCAGTTTCTACTTCAATTGGTAAAATATTGAAATTTGTTTGAATGCAATTAGGAGTTGTGTATGCACAAAAATCAATTCCCATTATATTTCTGCTCCACAGATGTCATAATGAGAATACAGTTTTTATCATGGTGCTATGCTCTGCCAAAACATATATTCATAATATCACCACAGCAACAAATAATTTCATCTTCAATGTTAAATTTTTTACTAAATTTATCACAGTATTCCCCATTATATCAGATGTTTTGCCTTCCACAGATAAACTTCTGAAAGCTTTACTTTGATTTCACGAGTTGTCAGATGGAAAAAGAATTGAGTCATTAGCTGGAATTAACTTGACTGATTTCCTATTTGAAGTATCTGATGACCCTGACAAAAAACTGGCATTTAACTGTTCATAACACCATTCTATTGCTAAGAGAGCCAACACTTTAACATTGCTTTGTAAATACACAAGAAATCCTGAAATTGAAAATGATTGAAATTAATTTAGAAGAACAGATATTTGATCTAAACGAAAAGCCACATTTCAAAAGAGTGATATGTAAACATACTTTTCTGCAACTGCACATGTTAAATTATTTTCTTTGGACACAATCCTCTTAAAACAACTTCTAACTCTGAAGTAGCTGCTATTGTTTCTTCAGCAGATGTGTGTCTCTGCTTTTCATGTGTTTAATGATGTCATTGAACCCCTGATGTCAACAAACATTTTGTGCAAGTTTTATATTCATCATCAACAAACTTGAGAAATGAACATTCAGGACCTTATTTTTCATGAAATATACTCTTTCAGCCTCTTGGGTTTTGTTTGTTTTGTTGTTACTTTTGGTTTTTAGCTTGTTGCTGCTGAAAGTACTTATTGCAAAATTTTTAAATAGAGTTACCAAGTAACAAATGTCAAAACCATGATAGCAAGAGCGTGTACACTATTTTCTGTGTATCTGTCTGTGTCGGGGCTGTTCAGCCTTTACATCCAGCACATATCTTGCATAAACCTAACTGGTAATATCCTGTGTTTCCCGCTGATGGACAATCTCATGGCACATACCTGAGCACACCTGGCTGGTAGACAGTGACCAACAGAGGCAGCCTCTTGTCAAAGAGTAAAAGGAGTTAGCTCATGTGTGAAAGCATTTCCTTTTAACAGCTACCCCCTTGCATGCTATTCTTGAAAAGGAGGGGTTAACTACATTACATCTGGAAAGAGTTGGGAAAAGAGATATGAGTTTTCATTAGTTCTCTTTCAGATTAACCACATGTTAAAGCAAAAACTCTGTTCACTGCACTTGGATCTTACATGTGATCATGGCAGAAGCTAAAAGCAAGAGGTGGGGGGGGCAGGGAGGAAGCACAAGGTGGAGAGCTACTCCATTAGTTTTCTATGCTGCATAACAAATTTTCCTCATCCACAAAACAAAAATAATAATAGATCTACTCATGAAGTTGCTGTAAGATATAAAAGAGTTAATACATATAAATATGCCTGGGTCAAGGAGACTGCTTTATCAGAATTAAGTGTTACTATTATAATTACTACTGCTTTCTAGGAAAAAAAAAAAAAAAACCCACCACCACTATGATTCCTTCAGTAATTCCTTGTTGTTGAAATTGTTAGAAACGAGCGTATTTTCCAGATCCTTCACTGACATGAATGCTCTCTTAGTGTTCTATTTGCCAGTTCCTGTCCCTGTATGGTTGTGTTTCTGCAGATAATACGTCTATTGCTGCAACCACAGCAATTGGCTTTTATGGGCAGCCATGTTATATATTTGTTGGTTCATATTAAACTTAAATCTAAAAATAAAAAGAAAGAAAGAAAGAAAACCCAAGTGTATTTCACACAAACTGTTATTAAGCCATAGTTTCTCCATTTCAAAGTCAAACAGCTGGTTTTTTGAAGTACATTCAGATTTTCCCGTCTATCCCCATTTTATCTAGTCTTTTTTTTTAAAGATTTTATTTATTTATTTATTGGACAGAGAGAGACAGAGCGAGAGAGGGAACACAAGCAGGCGGAGTGGGAGAGGGAGAAGCAGGCTTCCTGCAGAGCAGGGAGCCCGATGCGATGCGGGGCTCGATCCCTGGGATCGTGACCTGAGCCAAAGTCAGATGCTTAACGACTGAGCCGCCCAGGTGCCCCCACTTTATCTAGTCTTGTTAGTTTCAGTCCATAGCTCTATGTCTTTTGAGATCTTTCTGATCATCTAAATTATTAGCTTTGGATTCTTTGTCATTAAGAATATAGGTTTGGATTCAAATAGTTCTAGGTTTAAATACCAGCTCTACCTTTCATTAATTATGTGGACTTGGGCAATTTCAAACTAAGTCTCCACTTTCTCATCTGTCAAATGGGAATAATAATAAATATTTGGTATCACTGGATCTTGAGATGACTAAATGACACAATAGCTGGTGTATCTCTTAATATTTTATTGTAGAAATAAAATATTGCTATAATATGATAGTTATTATAACATTAACATTAAATATGTTTATCATTTGTTATAATAATAAAATATTCTTATGGAAAATGATTCACCAGGATAAGAATGATCTCTGTGATATCCCAATAGAGACTTCCCTCTATGTAGGCATACGACTATTTAACAGCTGCAAATTGACCTATCAACAACCAATTTTAAATCCCTACCAATAAAAAATGAGATTACTTTGTTAAGACAGTAAACACAAATTTTGGCTGGTTTTTTATGCTCACCATCTTTATTTTTTTGGTGCATTATTTTTTGTGCCTTATTCCCATTTTATTTTTCAATTCTTTGTGTATGTCCAAATCAGTGTCTCCACCCCAGAAAGTAAGTTACCAGGCAGAAAACATGTCTTCAATTGAGCACCATAAATAAGCATAGAGGAGAGCATCATGGACACATGGGGATTCAGGAAGTATTTGATATGATGATTTTTCTGACAGCAGCAAACATTTATTGAATACCTTCAAAGCACCAGATAATTAATAATGATAGCCAATACTTCACGTTCTTACCATGTGCCAGGCAGGTCCTCAGCGCCCCACATGTAGAAGCCCATCTAATCCCATCCATAGTTGATACTACTATTATCTCATTTTACAAATGAGGAAACTGAGTCCCAGGAACGTTAAGTTCTTGCCCAAGTGGTAGAACTGGATCACAAAACCAGAGAGTATGGCACCACAGTCCATGTTTTTAACCACTAGCTATGCTGCAACTCAGCTTGCACGAGATACTACATGACTCATGCAATGATCTAACCAGGCATCTCCACGACCCTGGAGGGAACTTATTGGGAGAGAAATCTGCTGCCACAGAGAGTGAGCATAGGAGACACATTCTAAGATAACACATCCCAAATGCAGCAAATGAACCAAATGCTCTTCTGTTCAAAAAAGCTGCCTATTTCAACCCCACACACAGAGTGGGCATTCCACACATGGGGAGGTAACGGTCAGTGCACAGCTTTGTTTGTGATGCCCTCTCCTGTCCTGGTGCCTTGTGAAGGTGCCCTAGGGTATCCTGCATTTTCCCTCTCTCTGAGCTCACTTTCTCTCTCTTCTGTGTTGCTTTCAAAGCACCCTACACCAAAATAAATCTCTCCCCTCTCTATCTCCATCCGTCTCTGTCTGGGTGGACTTTGGGGGGGTGGCGGGATGGAGGGGTGGTGGGGAGGGTCACATTGGACCTTGCACATTATGCCTGAATTCTGAACAAAGCACAGCTCTTCTCAGGGCATTTCTCCCTCACTGCACAGCCCCAAACACCCAACCCAGCTGTCTGTTCACTATTGTCCTGGCAACCCGTGCTTGGTTTATCTTTCCCTTGCCCTACTTTTTTTTTTTTTAACCCTTCCATCATAGCTTTTCCCTTTGGAATACAAGGAGGGACAGAGGTGGAGGAGTGATAACCACTATTCGTCACATTCTCCATGGTGCTAGGTGACCAGCACTTCATGAGCAGCCACCCACCCCCAGATGCCACCCTGCCTAAGTGCCCCTTCCCTACAGGCATTTGGGCCAAGTCAGACTGAGATGTAGTCAGCTGGCCCTGTCCCCCTTTGCCTTTGCTCCATTTTCCTCTCCTGTGAGAGCTTTCACCACTAGCACGCAGCATCAGGCCCTGTTCCAACAACTGCACCTGGACGGTGCCCTTCTGCCAGTGAGCACGACTCCCTGGTGAATGCCAAAATCTTCCTTAAAAAGTCTACTGGGTAAGTCTGTTCCTTAAGATTCCAGTTCACATCCTTCTTATAGAACCACAGTAATGCTCTGGCATGTGCCAAATGCCCCCGTACTCATTACTTCATCTATACTCCTTCAGGGAAAAATACTATTCACACCGTTAGGATGTGTAAACAAAGACTCTAAAAGATTAGTAACCAGAGGCAGGAAGAAAGGACCATCTTCTTCAGTGTCTGATATACACCCCAGATCTACATGCATTATCTCCAGGTAAGTGTTCCCGGCTCTGTTTACTGATGCTCACCGCTATCAGGCAACTTGTCCTAGACCCTGGAGCTACTTGGCCACTCCAACTCCAAAGCCAGCATTCTTTCCACCAAACCAGAAAGAACAGTTACCCCAGATCTCTCAGGAATAAAATCGCTCCATCCATAGCTGATTTTTATTACTTCCACACTTACTTTCCATACTGATTACTTCCATGGCTGCCTTTTCTCATCACTATTTAGGAGGTAAAGACAATGTCTTGCTCATCTCTATAGTCAACTTTCTTTCTCTCATCTTGGAGTTTCTCAACAATATTTGCCTTATGGAGATGTTTTAAGACAGACAATGGTCTCATATCAGGAAAGCTTTCATTAAAACTCAGAATCAGGCTCATACATAAAGGGGATTAGAGATAGCTTGCCTGTTTTCCTAGGTGATCCAGTCCTCATCTGACCCACCCAATCAGCACTATTAAAAACAAAACACGTATCTCCTCTTTTGTCCTTCCATGGGATTCAGTAATAGCGTCTATTATAGCAATTATCACAGTGTGTCAGTATAATTTTTTCCTTGTCCTATTTCCCTACTAGAGTGGGAGTTCCTCAAGGACTGGAGACCATGTAATTCACCTCTGTGAGGGATGAATGGTAGGAGCTGGATAAATGCTTCCTGAATCAATGAATGAACTGAAGATTGCACGAACTAAATTCTCCACTTGAAATAGGAAGTGGGGTAAGTTGATATTGGATATGAGGTCATCAGAGTCTAGATCTGTAGGATGCCAGCATTTAAAGGAACTTTAGAAGTGAAGCCCAACTCCTCCATTTTACCCAAGAAGCAGCCCAGGAAAATTGAGTGATGCCCAAAGTCACATACTTGGCCAGTGAGCTGGATATAGACTTCAGGTCTCCCCAGTTCAGTGAGTCCCAACCCTCTGAGAATTTGAAACAAAAAGGAGGAAAGACAGAAATCTTCCAAAGGACCTTCCTTTCTCCTTCAGCCCAGGCTCCTCTAGAAGCCATTCCCAAGCTGCTGTCCTTTGAGGCTTTATGTGAGGAGTCTGAGCTGAGATGGATGAAGGAAACTACCTCCACTGATGTTCTGTTTCCTTTTCCCCCAACTATTCCTCCCACTTCCAGGGATTTACCTTCACACGAACGGTAGACAGTTGTATATTCAAGGGCCTTTCATCACAAAATTATTGAAAGAGCAAAAATTTGACCCCAAATAAATGTCCAAAATAGGGCAACAGTTAAATAAGTCATGATGCCGTTATACAATGACATAATACAGACTCACTGAAAAGTCATACTTTGATAATATAATGAATTCCTGCATGACATGAAAAAGTATTAGCTAACAGTTAATGAGTGCTTACCATAAATCAAGTACTAGCTAAGAGTTTGACATATACTCTCTAATTTAGTCCTGATAGCAATCTCTGAAGGAGGTACAACTGTTATCTCCATTTTACAAATGAGCATACTGAGGTTCACAGAGGTTAAGTAACTCATCCATGCCAACACAACAAGTAAAAGCAGAGCTAGAAATTTTAGAAAAATGATTAGAATGGTAGGTTTTAAAGATTGGATGTACAACTTCATGCATCATATTATTTCAACCAACTACTTTATTAAAAGGAAACACCATCTAAGGCAGTTTTCTG